CTCCCACTTCCACTTTTCCGCTCCCACTATACTGCTATCACCCTCCTCCCCAACTGCACCCGCCGTCCTTCCCAACTGCGCCCACTCGCCTCCCCCACCACGCCCAGCCACAGCGTCCACCCTCCTTAGGGCGGGCAGGGCCTTTTTCCAAGCATGCAGAAAGGCTTATGCCTCTCAATAAGGCTAGTGTTAACCACCGTTCAAAAGAACAAGAGGATGCCCGCCGCCTCCGCGTCACGGTATAAGAGCAGGGGAAAACACACACACACACACACACACACACACACACACACACACATTGCATGAGAACAAATCGGAAGTCTCTTCCAGGGAGCTGGGTGGGGCCGCGGGTGGGGAGGGCGGCTAACGCAAAGACCGAGCATGCATCCCCTGGATAGGCTTAGGAGTAGTGGTAGCTATGCTTGCAGGGGTCCCTGGATAGGCTTAGGAGTAGTGGTAGGTAGATAGTGAAAGGTAAAATCGAGAGAAGGAAAAAAAATAGAAAGTTGTTCCTTCCAGGTGAGGCGCGCTCAACAGAGGGCCTCACTCCACCATTCACCAAAAGTGAAAAATGAGAATGCATCTTCCCCTAGACCACGGGGAAATACATTGGTGTATTTTTTGTCTTTTGTGCATGTCGTGAGCAGCGGACAGAGGCCAGGTGAGCCGATTTTTGGCTAGAACATGGAAATATATGACCTCATATCTTTTGCCTCTGTACATGTGGTGACGTGCCCCAACGAATCTACATGTGGCATAGCATCCCCCCCCCGAAAGGAAACAAAATCTATTAAAAACAGAATAACGAATCTGCCAAAAGAAAAACAAAAACAAAAAAAACAACGCAATGTATCCGTGCACCCCTAAACACACAGGGCCTCACACAAACGACAAAACTCATCGTGGTGTATCCTTCCATGTTCTAGCGGAAGATTCACTCCGCGCACCACGAAACAGATGCAGCAATAAGAAAAGGGCCGCTCCACTACTATCACATGCACAAATGACAAAAATCATGGTGGTGTATCTTTCTATGCCCCCCCCCAAAAAAAAAACTAACTGAGGAACAGCTGGCAAACAGCACGTGACCTCAAAAGAAGACAAAAGCAAAAAGAGGCCACGGAACTCGAACATGCGGCGAGAGCTTAGCACATGCCACAGCCACTCCGACTAACCCCGCGTGTCCCTACTGTTTTCCCAAGACTGGCAGCTATTTCGAGTGGGAATGCTACGCGAGACCCGCTATTCGCTTAAAGAGAGTAAGTGCTCTCATCTTTTTCATTTTCATGTAAGATTGAAGAAGACAAAAGCAAAAAGAGGCCACGGAACTCGAACATGCGGCGGGAGCTTAGCACATGCCACAGCCACTCCGACTAATGTTCCTGCTGGGCCCACCCCGAGTGTCCCTACTGTTTTCCCAAGACTGGCAGCTGTTTCGAGTGGGAATGCCACGCGAGACCCGCTATTCGCTTAAAGAGAGTAAGAGAAAAAGAAAGGAAAAAAAAGCTATGCCTCGTCCATACTACGTAGTGCTGCGTACCACTTTCGTGGGGTTGACCTTCAGTATGCTCTCCATGAGAAGATCCCAGTCAATCTTTCCAGTCTCTGGCGTTTTTACTACAGTCCTTGGCTGCACACAAGAGAAGAGAGAGGAAAGCAAGTTAAAAAAACTGGACAATCAGTAATGGACCTAATGGTCCAGATTTTGTTTTCTTTCTTTATTCTTTGGAGTTTTTTCTGATGATCCAATTTCATGAAGGAAGCAAAACATCGAAAAGAACAATGCTCTTTTTACAATCGGAAAAACAAAGGGGGGCTCTGAGGCTCTGACAGTGCTTCACTGCACTTTATCTCCATATATTTAGGTGCAAGGCTTAGGCCTTCTGGGTGCACATTCGGCAGGGGGCTAAGTGAAGGCCTGGCCTGTGAAAAGTGAGGCCAGGTCAGATTGATCGGGGTACTGGCCAGGTGGTTGGGATCCTGGTAGGCTGCGGCATGGGGGGCTACCAGCACTATTTATTGTCACATATCTATGCACTAAAAGAGCCCACTTTTAAAAAAAAGAAGAGTCCACTTTGCAAAACTGAAAGGATTTCTCGCTGTCAACCCCGAGTCCCGGTCCCAGAGTCCCAATTGGTCCCAGCCCCAGGCTGTCCCTGTAGGTCGAGTCCCTGCGTCCGTAGGTCAGTAGAAGCCGGGTACCGAAGCGTCGTGGGTAGTAAAAGTCCGCAGGTACCGCCAGAGGAAGTCAAGTCCAAAAGTCCAATTTTGCCCACAGCGTCCCAAGAAAGTCCGGAGACTTCCGGAACGTAAAAAAAAAAGCAGTAGAGGCCGCGGTGTCGGAGGGCGCGGTGTCGGAGGGCGCGGTGTCCCGGCCCTCCGTTGTGTACCAGTCACCTGCTCAGGGACCGCTACTGCGTACCCGATAGCTGCCTCAGGAAACTTCACGGCGTACTAGCTACTCAGGAAACCCCGGGTGGTACTCTGTTGTGGACTGATCCAGTTGGTGCTTACCCTGGCAAAATGAGGGGGTGCGCCACTGGGCTTTCCATTGGTCCACGCAGGCTCGGCGCCCTGCTGTACAGCAGAGCACTACGGGCCTGTGGTCGCGGTAGCCGCCGGTCTCGCCCAGGGACACGGAGGTAGAGGGACCGGCGAGGTTTTTCTATTGCGCGCCAAGTCTTCCCCAGTCAGGTTATGGGACTGGTCCGGCTGAGGCTCCCAGGCTAGCGGTGCGCCATTGGGTTTTGCATAGCGCGGTCTTTTCGAACTGCACATAGGGGCCCTATAGTCAGATCATGGGACAAAAGTCTAAAGAAAAGAAAAGAAAAGGGGGGTTAAAAAGAAAAGAAAAGTGAAAGAGGAGAGAAAAGCGAAAAGGGAGGAAAATTGACGGAGAAATATCACGACCCAAATCTGCATCTGTACCTAGGCCCTGACTGGAAACGGGCGATGTGGCAGTCCCTATTGGCAGCACTTTCTTGTTTCTCCTTCCCCTTGTCATTTCACGGGGAGCGAACAATCATGGTTTCGGATTCTGAACTAAGTTCGGACGGCCTAGACTACCCGATCCTTGCGCTTCAACCACCGTCGGTCCGGTCGACGAGGCACAATCAGTACAGGGTCCCCAAAATGGGAGTACCCGCGGCCGCATCGGTAGGAGACTCGTCACCCCGACGAAGGTCATGAGCCCCCTCCTTGCCATCGGACACGGGTACCCTTAGCGGCACAAGAGTTCCATGCAGCCTCCTCCAGGATTACTGAAACCACAGCCTATACGATCTAGCCCAGACAACTCTGTGTCTATAGACTTCATAAGTACTAAGGTCAGAAGGAGAAATAGCAAGAGTCAAGTAATGATTGTTGTTGAATCAATGTTGATAGATTTAGTGAATTTGTTGCGTTTATTCTGCTGCCTGCCGAGGCAAAGACAAATTTAGTCATTCGTGAGTTCTTTAATCCTTGGGCTAAGCATTACGGACACCCACTGACTATAGTTAGTAACCGAGATGCAAGGTTCACGGGCGAGCACTGACAACAACTAGTTAAAGTCTACGGGTCTAAGCTTACTATGTCGTCAGGCAAACACCCCGAGACTAACGGACAGATCAAGCAGATGAACAAACTGCTACAGCAAGTGCTTCGCATGTGCAGCAGACCAGATCAAGTAGATAGGGACAAGGTAGCCATTGCCTACAAGAACTCCATACATCTAAGAACTAAGCGGACTCCTAACGAGTTACATAAGGGTTGACGTGCCCGGCGTCCCATAGACTGTCTGAATCCTGACCAGATTCGGAGACTGCCACCAGGCACTAGAGAATTCGCAGTTCACTATGATAAAGAACTACAGTGCATTGTTGAGAACATCCGAAAGGCGCAACATCAGATGATAGAGCAGGCCAATAAGCATTGTAGGTCTTCGAAGTTCGCTGTTGGCGATCTTGTCTGGGTCAAATCAAAGGAGTGTTCTGAAAGAGAACATTTCTCAAAAACTATTACCTGCCGACAGAGGACTATGGGAGATTTTAGACGTCATTGGTGACACAAACGGTCCCTCCTACACTATTGACATCCCACTCCATCGACACACGTACCCAGTTCTCCACGCATCTAAGTTGCTGCCCTGCATCGCTAATGATTGATGCCCTTCATGCAGATCAGTGATTCCTCCTGACGTGGATGGGAGATACGACATCGATCGCATTCTCAATGAGGATGCATACAGCCAGGGAGAAGGGGTAGGCCGCACTGGCAATATAGGGTAAGGTTCGCCCATCAAGAACCCGAAGATGATCGTTGGTACACCAAGGATGAGTTAGTGGAAACAGCACCTCACATGGTATCTTATTATGAGTGCGCTAGGAGAGGTATTAACATTGTAGATACGTAAAGGTTAGATCTTTCTCAAAGGACCTTGAAATTAGGCCGGTGGGAGTGAGCGAATTTCACGCGGTCAGTTAGTCCCGGTCCCTCCCAGTAGGTCGAGTCCTAGGGTTCATAGGTCGAAACATCGTAGGTCGGTAGAAGTCGGGTACCGAAGCGTCACACGTAGGTAAAAGTTCACAAGGAAGTTGAAGGAACATTAAAAAAAAATGCAGCAGAGGCCGTCGGCGACCGGTACGAACCCCAAGCAGGCAAATTCAGTCAAGCAGCTATTTATGTCTGTGATAGTACCGAGGCCAACAAATTGTTCATTCACAAAGTTGCGGAAGAGCCACTAACTGCTTGTGCGATTACGCGACCTGGACAAAGGGAGGCGGTGGGGGAGAAGCAAGCGCCCTGGCAAGTAATAGTCAGTCATAGTTAGGTTTAGGGAGGAGGAAGGTGGCCATAGCCGCAAAGATTGAAGAGACATCACTTGTATTCAGCGTACATCCAAGTAGGGAGGGGGAGAGCGAGAGAGCGGCAGAGAGGCTTGAGCGATACAAGACTTGAGAGAGAGAGAGAGAGAAGAGAGAAAACAGACAAACAATGAGAGGGGGAGAGAGACACATATTCAGGGAAGGGGGAGTCGGGTACTTACCTGTGTTGGGTTGCAGTCGTCGGGTCACGGCCAAGGCCACTGGATACTTGAACTCTCCAAATTGTAAAATATAGTGGAAATTCATTTGGCGCTGATTCATTTGTTCTCTCTCAGGTGTGGTGTAAACTCTCATGGAATGCTCTCTTCTTGCATGTTGTGAATCAGTTGAATTGGTGAGTTTCATTGCAAAACAAACGGTAAAATAACACAAGACAAACATGAAGAGCACACTGAAACCATTCATTTTTATTGTTCTTCTTTGACTCCCCCTTTATTGTGCCTCTCACGTACAAGGCTCGCAACGTTGACGAAGTTCAACGTGAGCTGCCCTCATCCCCATGTGGCATAACGACCCACTTGTGCGCTGTGAGAAAAAGAGAGAGTAAAGGGAGAGCGGATGAACGTAGAAAAGACAAAGCAAATTGTGGACAAAGGAAAGGATAAGAAAAGGCTCAAGAATCAGTTGGTCCTTGACGACAAGAGAGGACGTACATTGTAAGGATGAGGTGGAGGAAGTCCGATGAACACAGGGAAAACCCAGCTGAGCATTCTCAGTACAACAGTTGCCACAAAGGCTGGCATTGAGCATGCCCACCATATATTCCCGACAAATGGCATGTCGATTGCAGGCCATGCATTCAGCATGACGCCTATGGCTGCAAAAAAAAAAAAGGACAAAGTGCCTGGATGTGGACGGTGCCTGCTGTCAGGAACGGAACTCCACACACATGGATGCAGAAATCATGTGATTGTAGCGATCGTGACAGAGACGATGGACACTACAGCTGAGTGTGACAGTGTTTGTAGTTGTGCAAAGCAGAAGGTCGCAGAGTCCTGGTTGGTACATTGTCCTGCTGCAGCAAGGGGCCAGAGGAATGATCTTCGGCATAAAGGACATTGTGGACGGTTTAGTTATGATTCTGGTTGTCTGTTGTCTGAAGACCAACACTCACTCACATAGACTCCCAGGTATGCCCATACATACACAGAAGGAAGGGGAAAGGATAGGAGTATCACACCGCACAGGGAGAGATAAACACAGCGGAAGACTTGACCATGCGATATGACAGGGTACACTGAAAGTGCAATTCACTCCACTTAATACTCACAACCAGCCATAAAGGAAGGCCGAGTAGATCACATCCAAGAAACAATGAAACGATGATAGTCTGAACCCAGTAAGAACACTGTTATTACACTCACTGTTATTACACTCAGAGTCTTGAATTGTCAGAATTGCCTCAGTACTATGATGCGCTGCTCATAAATGAGCAGCGCTTCACTCCCCCACCCTGATGAAACGCTATCCCCATCCTTGAGTCCCTGAAACGTCAAGCGCCACCCATATACAGCCTCCAGAGGGAAGCGCCACCCTGAAACAGGCCTCTGAGGCCAAGCGCCACTCAGAGGATGAAGAAGAAGACCAGCGCCACAGTATCTGATGATGGAAGACTTCCTCGGTGGAAGTCTGCAGCAGCGCCACCACTCCTGACAAGATGATCTCTGAAGAAGAAGCTGCAGCTATGGCTGCAGCGCCACAACCCTGTAAACCTACTCCGGAGAAGGGTCCAGCAGGGCACCGACTTCTCTCACCTCCAGCAGAC